ATTTGGTTGCATCGGGAATTATAGGTACCTAACAGCAATTTTTTTTTTATTATAATGCAATTTGGAGATTTTATTTTTCCAATTGTCGCATCAATTCTACCAAATGCCCAAGTTTCTTGCTTCTATATATGTACAATTGAGCATCATAAGTTAGAATTGCACCATCAAGCAAGTCTCTTCCACTTTGCTCATCAAGAGAGGTTTTGCATGTTATCTTTTGCAGTTTTGCAAAATGGTCATAACATGTGAGTAAAGTGCTTTGAAATATTCTCGTATTGGGTGCTTTTTTTTTTTTTTTTTTAAATATTTGTATATACCATATTTTAGGATTCCACACTTGACACGATCAGTCGATATTTGACACAGTAAAAATGCACTATCTATTCTATCTTTTTTTTCCAAAATTGGGATGTGCTGTCCAATGAGGGAAACCACATTCTTATGGGACTATAACTTTTGCTTCTATAACTATTATATCTTCATTAATCATTCATTTCCCTCAAATTCTTTTGCACCTCATTTGTGTGCAACAATTGGCAGGATTAGGCACACGTGCCAAAAGTAGTAATATAAGCATTTTACAAAATTGTAAGTAACACAAAAGAAGAAGAAGAAGAAGAAGATTTGCAATACGTTAAGGCACTGTTTGTTTTGAGGGAATGGGAGGAAAGGAAAGGAAAGGGAAAGATAAGGTTTTTGGTGTTTGGATTGGTTTTTGAGAAAAGAATTGAAATGATTGGGAGGGAAACGGAGGGATAAGATTTAGTTATTTTTTGTTAGTTTGCTTTCCATCCAAAAGTAAGTGGAAGTTGAGGGAAAGGACATTAAGATTAATCAAAATTTTAAAATTTGCTAAAAAAATATATTATGCATTCATAAATTGAATTTTTAAATTATAGATAAAAATGTAAACAACGCATGATAGTTTCTTTTCCTTTCCTTCCGTAAGCCAAGCAAGATAAATGAACTCCGATTTCTTCTACTCTCCTTTCTGTTCTTTTCCACTGGAATGCTCTCATTTCCTTTCCTTTACTTTCCTTCAATCCAAACGGTGCCCAAGGTATTAGATGTGAAATAAAAGATATCAAGGACCAAATCAGAACAAGAGACAAAGGTCAAGGACGAAAAGGGTAATTATCTTTTGCCATATCACACTTGGGTCATATTGACGCGTCTTCTATTCCGTACTAGGTTATATTGGTAATTTCACAAATGTTCAATTCATAAAGAGTCATGTTGAGGTACAGAGACGGTCAACTGAGGTTGTCATAAACTCTTCCCACTTTCTAGGATCACGCAATCTGTCCTCAGCCTCAACTTTTAGCCAAGCCACATCAAATTTGTGTATTATTCTTCCTTTTCCACAAGTTCTGTTTGGCTGATCACATGAAAACACATGGCTCCTGGAAATTTCCCTGTAATCCAGTGGAAGGATGTAACAAAGTAGAGTTAATGGTTTACAGTTAAGATACCTTATCAGCATTTTTCCTCTGAAGTTGACTTGCACTAGAGAGATATGGCTAGGCCAAAAATGTGCATTTTGATCATCATTTGAAGTTTTTGCGAGATCATCTCCCTCATGAATTTTTCAGCTAGATGCACACCATGGCTGGCATCTGTAGTCCTGTTGCTTTTGCTGCTGACTCCTTTGAGTTGGAGCTCAAGCCTCGAGACGGCATCAACAACCAAGAGAAAGGAACATATAAGAGGAAAACGTGGTGTTGTTGCCACGGATGATGGTCGATGTTCCAAAGTTGGAAGAGATGTTCTTCGCGAAGAAGGTCATGCTGTTGATGCAGCAGTTGCTGCTGCCCTTTGCTTGGGTGTTGTTAGCCCGGCCTCTAGTGGCATTGGTGGAGGTGGATTTCTGATTGTTCGATCAGCTGATGGGAAATCTCAAGCTTTTGATATGAGAGAAACCGCTCCAAAAAGAGCTTCCCAGGTACATAAAATTCCAATGTATCGACCTGATGATTTATTCCTATTTGAAAACTTTAGCTAGCCAGAAGATAGAATTATCTGATCTTAAGCCCATTTCTTTTGCTTTTTGTACAGAATATGTACTCGGGAAATGAAACGATTAAAGCTGCTGGTGCGCTTTCTGTAGCAGTTCCAGGGGAATTGGTAGGTCTCCACGAGGCTTGGAAGCATTATGGAAGGCTTCCTTGGAGTAGGCTTGTCAGGCCAGCAGCATATTTTGCTTACCATGGATTCAGGATTTCACCATATCTCCACGTGCAAATGGTTGCAACAGAATCAGAAATTCTGGCAGATAAAGGACTTCGAGAGATTTTTACATGGAATGGCAGCCTCTTGCAGCCAGGGGATAGATGTTACAACCGAAAACTAGCAGACACACTGATCAAAGTTTCAAAGGATGAATTGAAATCTTTCTACAATGGGACAATTGCATATAACTTGGTTAAAGATGTCCAGGACGCTGGAGGAATACTCAGCCTGGACGACATGCAGCGTTACCAAGTTAAGATCAGAGAACCAATCTCTACCAATATCCTGGGGGTTGAAATACTCGGAATGCCTCCTCCTTCATCTGGAGGTGCTGCAATGGTTCTTGTAAGTAAATCACCTTTACTTTTTTGCTTCATTTTCAATATAATGCTTCTGAAATTTGCATTGGACATTGAATCTGTTAAATTTTGATGTCAGACACTAAATATTCTAGCACAATATGGAAGTTCTGTGAATAGCTCTAATCCCCTCTTGGCACACAGAACGATTGAGGCTTTAAAACATGCATTTGCTTTGAGAATGAACCTTGGAGATCCAGATTTCGTTAACATTAAAGATGTCTTAAATGATATGCTCTCAATTGAATTTGCACAAGAGTTGCAGAAGACCATCAATGACAATATGACCTTTAGCCCTCCTCATTATGGTGGCAGGTAATTAAGCAGCTAGTCTCCAATTGTACAATTTCAGATCCTGCACTCTCTCACTGTTTTAACCATCTAGGAGAACTTTATTAATTACCCACATAATTTGATTCTATCAACTAAAGATCTGTCTGGATTTTCAAGCATGTGTTAGTATGATCATCATCAACCTTTTCAACCTGTTACTGTTACATTTTAGCAAGTTGCTTACAGTTGTATTCTCATAATTTTGCTCTTGCTGAATCCTTGCTCCCAACTAGGTGGAATCAAATCCATGACCATGGAACTAGCCATGTGTCAATTGTGGACACTGACAGAAATGCTGTGTCAATGACTAATACCATAAATGGATACTTTGGTGCTAAATTTCTTTCACCATCTACTGGCATAGTCCTCAACAATGAAATGGATGACTTCTCCATGCCTGATAATGCTTCTACAGATGAGCCTCCACCAGCGCCGGCCAACTTTGTTCATCCAGGCAAAAGACCTCTGTCATCCATGTCACCTACAATTGTTCTCCAGGTAATTCGACCAAGTCCTTTCCATTTGATCAACTTAAAAACTACAATGCCAAGGCTTGTCTCGTCCCTTCCCAAGACTCAACATGATTGGACCTAAACTAGAGCCCTTTATCATGAATGATGCGAAAAACAGGGAGGAAAGTTGAAGGCTGTTGTAGGTGCAAGTGGAGGATCCAAGATAATTGCAGGAACAGCAGAGGTATTCTTGAACTATTTTGTTAATGGGATGGATCCTCTGGCTTCTGTCATGGCTCCAAGGTTTTATCATGAGGTGATTACTCATTATTCGGTTGCAAAATTCTGCATTCAGCCCTTCTTTTCCTAAGTACATTTTTTTTGCTTATGTTCGAAATTGTTTCAAATTTGCTTGACTTCTTGCTGAACAGCAACAAAACTCATTAAATTCTTGATGATTAAACAATAAGATATCTCTCATACATCTTCAGATGCTTATAATTTGAGACTCAGTCTATTACAAATGTAGTTGCTTATTTTTACTCATACACTGAATGCTCATGCAAATGCAGCTGATCCCTAATGTGGTGAATTATGAAGACTGGAAAGTAGTGACCGGAGATCACTTTGAAGTTCCTGAGGAAACAAGGAGTTTCCTGAAGAAAAGAGGCCATGTACTAAAAAGTGTTGCAGGTGGGACAATTTGCCAATTTGTGGTTCAAGATCTGGAGTCTAATGAGCTTGTGGCAGTGAGTGATCCAAGAAAGGGTGGTTTTCCTGCGGGTTTTTGACTTTATAAGGAGTCATTTTTTCAGGGCTCTAGTGAAATAGTATATGCCCATTTTTTATTGTTGTGCCAATAAATATTATGTCCAATTTCTATATCAAATGAAAGCTATTGAGTAGAGGGAATGTTCATTTGTTCAACAATAACCTTCACCAAAATATTTGTCTAATTGTTAGAGATGAATTCCTTGTTATTGAGTCCAATTGTCCAAAAGACTTCAAACTAACAAGAAAATTTAGAGAATACCTTTTTTTTTTTTAAATTGTAAGATTGCAGTAGGAACTGTAACCTATGTCTAGTGCAATTTACTATCATCCTAAACAAAGATTCGTTTTCCGACCTTGGCATTAGAGTATTTAACCAGCTGAGCAAACCGGCGATGGAAAATCAGAGTATACTTTATTTATTTATTTTCAATTAATCGAACAGTATTCTTCTTTATTTTATAAGAGAAATTTGGGTCAGTTTGGCTCTTCAATCACTACCATAGATAAATGCGTGCTTTCAGAACCATAGATCGCTTATAGAGATTCTTATAAATCACTTATCAATACAATTTTCATGTCAACGGCAACCTTCTATGAATAAGTGATCGTTCTTATCAATTGAGTCAACTTGTGTTGGTAACACTATTATTCTTTGTTGGGGAGATGATAACTTTTGGATGACTACAATTTAAAGGCCTATTATGTAAATTTTCCATTCATCACTTATTAGGTACTATTTTAATTCCTTTTATCCCTTTATTATTTTTCTTTCTGATTTCTACTTTTTCTTTAGGGGAAAAAATATATATATAAAGTGAGATATTTTAAAGGAAGCATCTTGACCGTTAGGAAGAGCCCTCCAATTTTGGCGCCATAAAAGCCTCCTCTGCATTTCCCGCATGTTCTTGCTTTTCAAAACTCTCAGCCATTAAGTTTCAAAATACCACCGAAACCTTCTAATTTCAATGAGAATCAGACGCCATAAGAGTGGTAATTAATCGTCTAAGTTAGTACAAGTCCAAACCCGAAGAATGCAATCATGGGCCTCTCAGTCAAATCTCTACATATCCCTCCTCCAAACAAGTCTCAAAAGCAAAGACCCTGTAGCAGCAAGATCAATCCACGCCCAAATCATCAAGTCTGGGCTTCAATTAGGACTCTTTGTGATGAATAATCTCATAAATGTATATGCAAAATCTGGGTTCATCCCCGATGCTGTTAAGGTTTTCGATGAAATGCCTGTGAGAAACACATCTTCATGGAACACGCTCTTGTCTGCATATGCAAAACGAGGCATGATTCGTGAAGCAATTTCTCTTTTTAATGAGATGCCTGAATATGATTCTGATTCGTGGACTACAATGATCGTGGGCTATAATCAACTGGGGCGTTCTGAGGATGCTGTAAGGATGTTTTGTAAGATGGTATTGAGTAGAATTCTTCCAACCCAATATACTTTTACTAATGTACTTGCAGCTTGTGGTGCAATTAAAGGGTTACATATCGGTAGCAAGGTGCATTCTTTTGTTCTTAAACTCGGGTTTGGTGGCAATGTAGCTGTAGCAAATTCATTGTTAAATATGTATTCAAAGTCTGGTGATGTTGGTACTGCAAAGGTGGCATTTGACAGGATAGAGTTAAAGAATGTCTCAAGCTGGAATTGGATGATTTCCTTGCACATGCAGCATGGTGAGGTTGATCTTGCACTTGCTCAGTTTGATCAGATGAAAGAACGTGATATTGTTTCTTGGAACTCAATGATTACAGGTTACAATCAGCATGGTTTTGATAATGAAGCTCTGGACATGTTCTCCAACATGGTCAATGGCACTGACCTGTTGCCTGATAAGTACACCCTAGCTAGTGTTTTATCTGCTTGTGCAAATACTCAGAATGTTACTTCAGGAAAGCAAATTCATGGTCATATTGTTAGGACCAGTTTTGGTACTTCTGGGGCTGTTGGGAATGCTTTAATCTCGATGTACTCTAAGTGTGGCTGTGTTGAAATTGCTCAAAAAGTTGTACGCCAAAGTGGAATATCAAATCTAGATATTGTAGCATTTACAGCTTTACTGGATGGATATATCAAGATTGGAGATATCAATCCAGCAAGGGTGATCTTTGACTCATTAGAAGAACGTGATGTGGTTGCTTGGACGGCAATGATTGTAGGTTATGTGCAGAATGGCTTTTATGACGAAGGGATGGCACTTTTTAGATTGATGATAAGAGAAGGTCCAAAACCTAATAATTTCACTCTAGCAGCTATGCTAAGCATTTGTTCAAGCTTGGCTTCATTGAATCATGGCAAGCAGATCCATGCAGTGGCCTTGAAATCATTGGAAGCATCGTCTGTATCTGTGAGCAATGCTTTAATTACCATGTATTCAAAGGCTGGTAGCATTGGTAGTGCAAAGAGATTATTCAACCTAATAAATTGGAAAAGAGACCATGTCTCTTGGACATCCATGATCATAGCTTTAGCTCAACATGGAGTTGCAGATGAAGCCATTCAACTGTTTGAGAAGATGCTGGGATTGAGTATTAAGCCAGACCATATCACTTATGTAGGTGTTCTTTCTGCCTGCACACATGTGGGGAAGGTTGAACAAGGCCGTAGATACTACAAGATGATGCAAGATGTACATAGAATTGTACCCACCACAAGCCACTATGCTTGCATGATTGACCTGTTTGGACGTGCTGGATTGCTACAGGAAGCACAATGTTTCATTCAGAACATGCCAATTCAGCCAGATGTTATAGCTTGGGGATCGCTTTTAGCTTCTTGCAAGATTCATAAGAATGCAGAGCTAGCAACTGTAGCAGCTGAGAAATTGCTTTCAATTGAGCCAGATCACAGTGGGGCCTTTACAGCACTTGCTAATGCTTATTCTGCCTGTGGAAGATGGCAAGAAGCTGCTTTGGTCAGAAAGTCAATGAAAGATAGACAGGTAAAGAAAGAGCAAGGATTTAGTTGGATTCAGATTAAAAGTGAAGTTCATGTATTTGGGGTAGAAGATGCACTTCACCCACAGAGAGATGCAATTTACCGGGTTATGGACAAAATCTGGAAAGAGATAAAAAAAATGGGTTTTGTTCCAGACATGGAGTCAGTGCTGCATGATCTTGATAACGAAGTGAAAGAACAGATTCTTAGACATCACAGTGAGAAACTTGCTATAACATTTGGTTTGATAAATACTCCAGAAAAATCCACTTTAAGGATCATGAAGAACCTTAGAGTTTGTAATGACTGTCACTCTGCTATTAAATTCATTTCCAAACTTGTGGAGAGAGAAATTATTTTAAGGGATGCTACTCGTTTTCACCACTTCAAAGGTGGTTTATGTTCTTGTCGGGACTATTGGTAGGACAAAAAAAGATATCAATTCAACTATTTAACTTGGAACCTGTTATTAAGGGGACCGTCAAGGTTGACCGGTTTTATTCGCACAGTTCAGCTAAATGAGAAATGTAAAGTTAAATGTTGGGTATGGTGCACCAAATTTAGTGACATTGCTGAAGGATTTGATGTTATATCCTTAGAACGTGGTTGAAGTTTCAGGAAAAGGGAAGATGGTTTTGTTTCATGAATATAGCGAATTGAGTGGTCCAGGCTAATGCAACCAGCAACTGGGGAAGCATCTCCTGGATGATTTCTGAATGATTTACAAGGATTGGGCTTGGAGACATCCTTTTGTATAATTGTGTATCTCCTGCAGGTCTTACAGACAGCATATCTGGTTAGTCATTTATTTGGATAGCCCCCCCCAAATAGTCATTTATCTGGTTAGTCATTCTATGATGTGCATATTGTTTTTGCATCCTTTTCTAACGAAGCATTGAACTAACTCAAGAAATTTGACTAATGATGTCATATTCTTTGTGCATATGATGTCATTACATAATTTTTAGAAATTTGACTAACTCCAGACATTGGAAGTCATTGTTATAGTTGTAATATGGTTTATTCAATCAATGCTTAACTAGTCCAACATTTGGCCTTTCATTCATGGGTTTCAGACGAATGATCAAGATCACCTGTTCATCTCTTTGACATCGTTAATAAAGCAATTAGTATCTCCTTTCCACCATACACGTCTTACTTCAGTAGAATTAAAGCAACACATTTTCAAGCTATCAGTCTTAATGTGACAACTTGTCATCATTTTGCAAGAGATTGAATTGCTCTATTTCCCATATGGTTGATTTGAAGTGCCATTGTTGGTCACAGCTCTGAGAGATGATTTCTTGTTTTTATGTGCAGTCCCAGGTAGGGAACAGTATGAGCATTGGTGCATCTTGCTATGCTGCCTTACAAGTAAGACAATGCTTCAATGAAAAGGTGTGCTGAATTGCTGGAGTAGGGCTTAAGATTTATGTCTGTTCGTTATGAGATTAAGTATGCCACAGATTCCTGTGCTTTGGCAAAAGAATGAAGTACTTAACCAAGAGAATTTCAATACTCAAAGATTTAACGAGTTATGGTAAAATCTAGCGGCATAATTTTCCACCTTGAAACGATTTTTGGTTCATTTTAATCCTCTGATTTTGAACTTTCTTTACACGAGTATGCTTTCTGTTCCTCATTCTTTACATGAGTTCAGTTGTAGAGATCTTGTGTTGGCTCTTACTGCAGGTATAGAGGTTAATAGCTGCTCAACGCTTTGGTCTCCAATGCTGTAAAATCCTGTGGACATGAATCTCTACAACCATGCCGAGATTCAGGCAATCATTTGCAGACTGGTGAGAATTACTAGTCAAAGGTCACAAGTTCATCATAAATAACCACAGGCTGGTGAGAGTTACTAGTCACTAGATCATCATAAATAGCCCTCCTTTATGTTTTGCAAGCGGCGAGGACAGCAACAAGTGTCTATCTGATAGGGAACTTCTACAAATTTGCTCTTTTAGATCTCAGATGCCGTAACATCCTCATTTTCTAATACATGTCTGGCTTTTTAGTGATATAATAAAATGACTTGTCTTTATAAAGATTGAGGAGAAGAATCAGCATCATGATTTCAATAAGATAAATTTGATACTGATATTCCATGGTCTTTTGTTCCTCAATTGGTGTCCCTAGTTGGACATATTGCTTCAATTTTATTGACATGCTCTAATTATTTTTCTTGCTGGAATATTATCATTTGAGATCAATTTTTGCAGAATGACTCCTAGTAATTCCTGAATCACAAATTTGTTACTCAATGGGGTTTCTGATCTTATTTTGGTGGGATTACGTAAAATACACTGGAAAGAAGTTCTAGCAAGGCTCTTCTAGTTTTCTTGGACTGAAATCTCTCATCTTCTCATGCATTTTGTCTTTTCTCCTTCAGAAAGACAATTCACAATACACTAAACAGCATTACATGATCACAAACTTGAAAAGTGCTAAAGGGCACTATATTTTAGCCTGGGGTTAATCCTTTCTTGTCCTTCTGATTGTAAGTTATGGTGTTGCAAAATATTTTTTCACCATATGGATTGAAAGAAGTTCTTGTCAAAGTTGGCTAATGTACCAAACTCTTGATCTTGAGGAAAAACAAGACAAAGAAAACAACGTACTGATGAAAAATGCTATATCAATAAAGCAAAATTAAAAGGCCAAATTGGAAACGGAATCTTTTGATAACTCGGCCACCATTTCTACTCACATAATGGAGAATCCATTAAAAATCCTCCAAAATTGAAAATTCATATCATTCTCATTTCTCAACACATAAAATGAAAATTACTCTAAACTGAAACCCTTTTCAATTCAATTAGTTACAAATTCATTATCACTTACTTTCAGCTACAAATAGGCTAAAATTAATTAAGACAATTTGCCCTCATGACCTCATAATTTCCCCCAAAATACCTCATTTCCATTATAACTTACTTAAAAAGTGAGGGAAAAAAACGGGTACGTTTGGATACCAAAATTTTGTTAAACACAAATTTCAATAATCTTTTCACATAACCAACTACTTCTTTATTTCACATATTATATACCACAAAAAGTACTACAGTAATTATTTCAAATAATACTCTACAAATTGACAAGGAAAAAGAAAAAAATTATTTGAGATATCTAAACTCATCATCTTATAAAAAGAAAAAAGAAAAAAATCTTAACACTTTTTATATTTGAAACTCTTGTTAGTCCTCTCCCCGAGATAAGCATCAAATCTATAAATATGTTATCACAGATCAACTAGTACTATTGTAATTTATCCAAAACCATAATACAAAAAAAAAAAAAATTGATATTATAAAGACTAAAATACAAAATTCCACGTCAACATTTCTCCAAAATCCAAAACATAAAACAGACATGCCCCACCCCAACCAGCGTCCAACACTGCGCCAACTTTTCTTCTCAACTCAACATTTTCACACACTCACACGGTACAGTTCAGTCTGTCTCACACAGTAGTGACTGAGTGACGGTGTGTGAAAGAAACGACGAACCGACGATGTCATTTAAGACGGTGGGGAGGAAGCTGTTGAGGAGTAGTAAATGGCAGTGTGTTAATACTACTAATGTTAAGCGGCGTTGCTTTTCGGCGGGGATCGCAGCGGAGGCATCTGTGTCTCGGCCGGAGCTGCCGGCGTTCGACTATGAACCAAAGCCATATAATGGTCCCTTAGCCGATGAAGTCTTCCAGAAGCGGAAAAAGTATCTGGGCCCTTCTCTTTTTCACTATTACCAAAAACCCGTAAGTTTTCTTATGGAGACTAAATTCTTTAGTAGTTTCTTTTATTGAAATGGATTTATTTTGGTGCATCTTAGTTAATTTCTGTGAATTCCAATTTGAATTGGTAATTTTCTGACAGATTGTTGGTCAGAGACATCTTTTTGTGTATTGAAACGGATGGAATGCCAGCAGGGTCTTGGCCATTTAAGAGTGTTTAACCAATTTAATTTGGGAATGGGTTTAAGTTTTCCTTCTTTTTAAACTCCTTTTAAGAATATAAATTTCTGAGCTTTAGTGAGGTTTTCTTTTAACTTAGGCTACTTTTAACTTGGTTTAAGCATTTTGAGCAAGTGGTTTAAGTTCAACAGTTAATCGACTAGGCATGACTAGGCATTAAATAGTTTTATTGTAGATGACATGTCTATATTCTTGATTTCAGTGAATAGCTGCCATGGTGCCATTTATGATTTGTATGGAAAATCTAGTCTTTATGAAAATTGAGCTAAATGTCACAAAGTTTTTTTTTTTTGAGCCAAACTCCGAGATCTCATTTGTTAACTTTGTGTTGTATGGACAGCTAAATATTGTTGAAGGGAAGATGCAATATTTGTTTGACGAGAATGGAAAGCGTTATCTCGATGCATTTGCTGGAATAGTAACTGTATCTTGTGGACATTGCCACCCTGAAGTACTGAATGCCATCATTGAGCAAAGCAAGCTTCTTCAGCATGCAACAACCATATACCTACACCATGCAATTGCTGATTTTGCAGAAGCGTTGGCATCTAAGATGCCCGGAAACCTAAAGGCTAGTATTTTGATGGAATCTGTTTGGAATGTTGCGGCTGTGAAAGTAATATGCTTGCTGTCTTTTGACTTAAGTGTGAAGCGCAAAAGGCCGTCCATGTCTTTGTTTTGCCAGCAATTTCTTTCATGTCTCGTCCAATATTTATATCTATTCTCTACGTACTGAATTTTTTTTTCCCTTTTTTTCTGCTTCTTGAAATCTAGGTTACACTTCTCATGCAATGCAACTTGCTAATACTGCTCCTTTTGGAACTGCAGGTAGTTTATTTTGTAAATTCAGGAACCGAAGCAAACGAATTAGCAATGATGATGGCACGGTTGTACAGTGGTAACCTTGGTATCATTGCCTTAAGAAATGCATATCATGGTGGAAGTTCCAATACAATTGGACTAACAGCTCTCAATACATGGAAGTATCCAATTCCCCAGGTTTGTTCCTGGAGGTTATGTGCATTATCCAATGCTTCCACACCATGCTGCTTTCCGAATATATTACACATTACAATCGAATATGTTACGTGCAATGCTTGAGTGGATACTTGTTCAAAGCATGGTGCTTTAACCTATCTCTGGGGGCTGTTCTTAAGTTGGTTAATGAGTTAATTTGTTTACTGCCGCTTGTTGAGTAGATTTTTCCTGGCATTAACTTGTACAATTTGACTGGAATGTATTCCAAAAATAATTTTATCCAACCTAAATAGTTTTTTAGTTTGTTGGTTCTGATATTCACTTAACCAAGTAAAAATCCTGATTTTGACAATGCAGGGTGAAATTCATCATGTCATCAATCCCAATCCATATAGAGGTGTCTTTGGGTCTGACGCTAGTCGTTATGCTGAAGAGGTACAAGATCATATTGATCATGGGAGTCCTGGAAAAGTTGCCAGCTTTATTGCTGAGACCATTCAGGTTTGCAAACTTATTCTGGTTACTGAAAGTATAGCTTGATGTTGACACAAATAGCTTACTTGATTTTATTATGCAAACTCCAGGGGGTTGGGGGAGCAGTTGAATTGGCTCCTGGATACTTGAAACTGGTTTATGACATTGTTCGCAAAGCTGGTGGTGTTTGCATTGCTGATGAAGTACAAACTGGGTTTGGTCGCACAGGAAGTCATTATTGGGGGTTTGAGACACAGGGCGTGATTCCTGATATAGTTACCATGGCAAAGGTGTACATGATCATTCCCTTGCCTTCTCTTGTATATCATAATACTAATCAGCAGTTCTCACCAGTTGCACAGTTGTCTAGCATAATCAATTTTGACTGGACATAATGTACTCATCAGGGCATTGGGAACGGTTTACCTCTTGGAGCTGTTGTGACCACCCCTGAAATAGCAAGCGTAATGGCTCAAAAGATACAGTTTAACACCTTTGGTGGCAATCCCGTATGCTCTGCTGGTGGACTTGCAGTACTTAAAGTTATTGATGCTGAGAAGCGCCAAGAGCATTGTGCTAAAGTTGGCTCCCACTTGGTTGAACGACTGAGAGTTCTTCAGCAAACACATGACAGTAATGCTCTGTTTGCCTATGGTGCTTTGTTTCACCCACACACCTATATAAATAAAGAAAGATTAGACTCATAATTATGAGAACCATGACTTTTATTATCAAGACTATCAATTCATTCTTTTCTGTGTCAGCCTAAAAGGTAATTGCAATAGGCTAAAGTAATCCTTATCAACATGCATATGGTCAGGAAAATCTGATAGTTCAATGTCTTCATAATGTCATCACAGGCATATGCTTACTACTGACAAAATTACAATGATTTTAAGGATCTAAAATATAACTCCAGAATGTTGATCTCTACGTATAATGTACAATGTTATGTTTTCTGGTTACTTACTGGTATACTAGTACTAACCTAGTAATAGCACTCCTATGCAAATTTGCTTACCTCTAGTGAACCTAGTCAATCTAATTGTCAATGAAGTTTACAAGTCACAGATAATTTTAGTAATATTCTCATTTGCATGACCTGGATAGCTGTATGTAAGCAACATCTCTCGAACAAAAAATATTTACTTTTCAATGACTCCATTGCTTGCTTGGGTTATTCAAAATCTAGTATTAGCAGTCTAGAGAAGTTAGCCACTGCCACGTGAGCAGCTGCACAGCTCATCAATCGCAGCATGCCAAATTGATATGACTGCATCCCTATATACTCTGTTGCATTTCCTGACATGTAGGAATAAAATTGTGAATGCTAACTAATGTTTTCCTATGCCTCAGTAATTGGAGATGTGCGAGGTAGAGGCTTGATGGTGGGTATAGAACTGGTCAGTGATAGAACTAAGAAGACACCTGCAAAGGCAGAAACTGCAATTCTGTTTGAGAAGCTCCGAGGTTAGTAAGACCAACCAAAAAATATTCAGGAAATCATGAGAATCTTCATCTATACATTATAGTCTATATGCTTCTATGGTAGTGAGTTAAAGTTTTAATGTAATTCTCATATTTGAACATAGAACTTGGCGTCTTAGTTGGAAAAGGTGGACTGCATGGGAATGTTTTTAGAATAAAGCCTCCTATGTGCTTCAACAAAGATGATGCAGGTAATTTCATGCTTTGCCATTTGAGTTCCTTTGAGTAAATTCCTCCTAGATGAGGTAAACTAACATTAAACAAGACTTCTTAATGAGTTTTTTGCCCCCTCTACATCTGAGCCTTTGAATTTTCTTTTTCTGCAGATTTCCTGGTTGATGCATTGGATTATGCCATGTCTAAGTTATGATGATTCATCCCTGAGAAAATTTGATGATGTACCAGCCCACAAAGGAGAGAACTATAGGACTGTGCAAAGATCTTCAAAATGCGAACATGAAATGTAGTAGTTGCTTCTGCTCCTTGAAGTGGACAGAACATGTCAATGTCAGAAAACAGCATTGCTATCAGCAATTGCCAATGATTATGGTTGGATTGTACTATAAATACTATGCTATACGCTTTAAATGGGAAAAAGAAGAAAAGTGTTCGAGTATACATTGAGCGAGCTTTGTATTTGGTGATTGTCGACTAGATTAGAGTTTTAGGTCAATATGGTTGGACAATCTTTCTTATCCACAAAAGGGGGAAAAGAAAAGGAGGAATGAAAAGCAAAAGGTGGAAGAACTTCAAACGTAATCATAATGGAATATCTAAATATAGCAGCCCATGTGGTCTTATACATTAGGCCTCGAGAATAGCTAAATAGTCACATGCACCTAAGAGTAAGGGGTTGCGAGGACGCCGCAGCAGAGAGTGCTGCGGGGAGCCTTTACAGCTCTGCTTCTCGTGCTGTTTTGAGAGAAGGAGAAGGATTGACCCTCGGACCTAGTAATATATGTCGAACCTTTGAAGAAGGGATCTTGTAGTTTCATTTTTTTTTTTTTTGTTTTTTGAATGCAACATTACGTCAGGTCTGGCGATCGGATCAGATCAGATTCGGATTGGGTTGAGATTCAGATATAATAGATAATATGTCCGAACACAATCCGTCAACTCGAAACATGTTAGGATACCTGATCCAAAATAAAAAATTTCGGGTTGGTGGATCAACCCCGAATGACATGAAACATAATTTCAATTTATTAATTTATCACTATAGTTTTTAACAGAACCAATTTCGTACAAGGCTAATTACATAATCAAGTAATAAAAATCTCGATAAAATAATCCCAAACCATATTTGAAATAAATTAAAACACTGTAAAAGTATTTTATCTCAAACCATATCTAAAATAAATTAAGATACTATAAAAAATAGAAAATAATCTAATATATCATTTGTCCTTTTTTTTTTAGGAGTGTTCCGCAGGGAGTGGATCTCGCAGACTAATCCTCCGCCCCCCTCAACTTGCTAGCAGCGAGACTCAAACCAGGGACGAATTCCCTTCTTCAGCAATCCCATGCCACCACATCAAGCCCCGGGGGGCTAATATATTATTTGTCCAAACATAATAATTCCAATTTCAGACAAGTTAAACAATTCATTTAGGATTAAGTAGTAAATGCCTTTGCGAAAAAAGAATAACTTTAGTTTAGTTAGATAAAATATTTTTATATTTATTAAATTATTTTTAATTTATTAACGGGTAATCGAGTCAAGTCGTGGGTGACCTGAATTCAACCTGTTTTTTTTTTTGTTCATCGGATTCTGTCCGATTCTGATCCGAACCCGTGAAGTCTCAATCCAATTTATTAGTTTGGTATTAGGTTCATGTCGTGCTGTCATGTCATATCAAAAATTATCAGACGACCCCTTTTCCTATGTTAGGGAAAGGGGATGTAGGATGAACCAGACGGGCGTACTTAACGCACCCTCAGGAAGTGAAGCTAAGAAACTGGCAAATGGTGCACTAAGGCATCCTAACATGCAGGCAGGCGACTTGAGACCCAGAATCCCTTTTCTTGGTGGCTATTGGGCTGGAATCCAATGGCTGTAGTTTCATCCTTTCGACTTTCTTTCGTGACCCTTAGCCATTCCATTACAAGCATCTCATCAGACTTGTTTTTCTCCTCAGAATGATTCTTCATTCATCTCCTATGGTTCTCGGCATATATTTCAGGTTTATCTTAGCTTTCCTCACAGTTTCAGATCCACACAAAGAAAATAATTGGACTTTCCACAACTTTCTAAGTGATTGGTTGAATAGGGGATACTCCAAGAGCGGCACTACTTCCTTTTCATTTTCTTTATTCTTAAATGAAGATCAAATGGCAGCAATACACAAATAACCAACACAAACTCAGTTGCTGCAACATTCTCTTACAATACAGATACTGTTATACTTATTAAAGATTACAGCATTTCATTCATAAAATATTGCTTCCTTTCGACTAAAGAACAAGCCAGAAGGACCATCATCAGGCAACAAAGCCAGCCTCACGGGACTTTCAGCGCCTTCTTCTACAGTCAGTGCTCCGAAGTCATGGCCTAAGTCAGTTTTCACATGACCAGGACAAACGCAATTCACTTTGACACTAGGCCACTTCTTAGCAAGAATTCTTGTATAAGCATTCAGACTAGCTTTGGAGATGGTATATGCCATAGGCCAGCCTTGAGCATCATGGGTACCAGCTTTGAAGACTTTAAGATACTCATTCAGCACCTCATCCACTCTCTCTTCTGTAAGGTTATCAGCATCACTTAGTATTCCTTTAGCCCATGCATTTGGTGTAAACTGGAAAAAAAAATGTGAGGGTAAGGAAGAAATTAAATTGCAATTATGGATAGAACCACCGAAAAAAAAGGGCAGATTGGATCAAGTTTCAGTACCTGTAATTTGCCCAAAATAGAAGAAACATTGACAATTCTTGGTGATTGAGATGATTGGAGAAGAGGCAAAAATGCTTCAACCATTCTTTTTGGACCATAGTAGTTTGTTTCCAAGCATGCCACTGACAAATCATATGTCTCAGTGCAGAAGGCTTTAAAGTCAGTTAGACCTCCAGCTTCCTGCATTGTTCAGTAACAATTAGATATATTACTAACAACGATTGTATAGAAGGTGAAGCATATCACAACTAATAAAATGAATGCAAAAACATACCAATGCAGCTCGTAGGGCATCAACATCTTCAATGGCTCCAGCAATCCCCGCATTGTTCACCTGAGACCCCAAAAAAAAACAAAGAAAAGAAAATGGAATCACAAATCACATAGGAAGAGGAAATGTCCACCGGATCTTAAATCAATGATCACTTTTCATCAATATGTGACATGACATCCCAAAATTAAATCAATGATCCTAAAGAAAATTTCGATAGAGCAGCAAAAATTTTTTTCTCATACCAAGATATCAAGCCTTCCAAACTGAGTCTTGATGAATTCAGCAAGGGAATCAACACTAGATGAATCTGTTACATCAAGCTTATGAAAGAGTAGATAACCAGAAAGCCCACCAGTTTCTTTGAGCTGGTGAAGTGCATCGAGTCCCCTACTCTCATCTCTTGCAGTCAACACCACTGTTATTCCATGAGAAGCTAATTGCTTGCAAATCCCAAGTCCAATCCCTTTGTTTGCCCCAGTCACAACTGCATACCTACACAAAATAACTCCATGATCACATTGTACTTGGATCAAAGGGAAGAGCTATAATTTATAATCCATAGAAATATCATGCACTTGTATTTCACTATTTAATGTGTGATAAATTTTAGAAAATGATGTTGTTATTCACGGTGCTGTTTCAATGTCATTGATAATGGTGAGAGTTTATATAGAATATGACTTACAAAGATAACGATTACAAAAGATAAAAGCCATCAAACTAAAAATCAAATTGCAGGATGAAATCCTATCAAACTAGAATTCAAATTGCAAATCAAAGAAGTTGATAGAACAACTTGTCAAATAACAAGTTGTTAAAATTAAAATCTATAAGCTAACTAATTTTCAATAACATGCACGATGATTTCCTTTCTCATGTGCAAGTACAATGTTAACTTTCTAGTTTTTACATACTTTGAGAGGAATTCAAGAAGATGTAGTTTTTAAGTACCTTTTCTGGGCAAGACTATTACCATTGGTAGCTTCTTCCATTGATTGATGCTGAAGCAAGTATTGTAAGATTGGTTTCTGCGGAATCTGGAGTTAGCCCAGATTTGGTTCTTCAATTGCCAAGCGACAAAGCATTTAAACACTCCATCTCCTGAGATTATTTCGATTGGTGGTAGAGAGGTCGGTCGTACTGTTAAATATTTAATAAGCTAATTAGTTACTAAGTACTTTCCGTGAAGAGTCTATTTAGTATTTAAAACTACAATTCATATCAATCTGAATTAATTTTAGTTGACTATTTTATCAAAATAATTAGAATTGACGAAATTTTCAATGAATTACAACTTCCAAGGAATTTATTTTGGGTTGTTACAATTCTTTTTAAAAATAAGATACATATATTTTAAATGAGAGAATTATAGTATTTAAATCCCTATTTCGTTTACAAATTCTATTTTAACCACCTAAGTTACAATTTACAAAAAAGAAATACTATTATGTTTTAGTATAAAGTGTGTGTAACTTTGTACTAGTTGTAGCGGTTATATTTGTATTAATATGATCGTTACAAATTAATCTGACAATTATACATGTAACTGTCATTGACCAAAAAGATCGAAAATGCCATACTAAAGCAATTTTCTTGATTTACTATTGAAACAAGAAAAATTAATACCACCTGATTTTACAACATGAAAGAAAGAAGACATTTTTTCAAATTAATCATCCCCTTGCTTGTTGATTCCGTTTGGTTCCACAATCTTCAGAAGCTAGGTGATAAATAACCTGCTGCTTATATCTTATATCAAGTGGTCATGTGAAAGCAGCAGTGATGTTTTTCCAAGCCTAGGCCAAGATCCAAACTTGAACAATTTCACCACCCTGATTTAGGCCAAGCCATCTTGATATAGTTGATCAAGGTTAGAGTGATGTTATCGTTAGTTCATCTCTGTTAAGTTAAAATGACATCCTATGCATGATGAAGAATTTGAAAATCCATATTCTTGAAGAAGCAGATTGCCCAGTTCAGTGCCTCTTAACGTCCCAATGGATGAATTAGTGTTGCAGAAACCAAGCCAGTAGATGTTTATACGTAACAACCAGTAGATGGTCAAAAATGTTCGTTGATTGCTGGGCAGTACAGCATAGTCTTGAAAATGGCACTGCAATACACACAAAGAAAAGCAGAAACGGTGATAGGGTGCAACATTTTCTAGGCTACACTGAATGTTGTTAAAGATGGTTTTCTCATTCAAAAGATGATACTTCTTTTTGACTAAAGAACAAGCTAGATGGACCATCATCAGGCAACAAAGCTAGCCTCACGGGACTTTCAGCGCCTTCTTCTGGCGTCAATAAACCAATATTGTGGCTCATGTCAGTTTTCACAAAACCGGGATAAACACAAATCACTTTGAAACTAGGCAACTTCTTGGCAAGAATCCTTGTATAAGCATTCAGACTCGCTTTTGAGATTGCACATGCTAAAGGCCAGCCTTTGGCCCCGTGGGCACCTGCTTTGATGAAGTCTTTTAGATATTCATTCAGCACCTCATCCAAATAAATCAATGGTGAGGAAGCAGTTGCACGTTGCAACTATGGACAAAAACATCCAAAAAAGAAATCATATAGTTAAAGAAGCACATTGCATATTCGAGTTCAGTCCCTCTAGCTTGCCTACGAGAGAAGAAGCACTGACAATGCTTGGGGATTGAGATGATTGGAGAAGAGGCAAGAATGCTTCAATCATTCTTTTTGGACCAATTTGTTTCCAAGCATTCCACTGACATTTCATGTCTCATTGCATTCAGCTCATGGTTCAAAGTCGCGGTTGCGGTTGCGATCGCGGCCTGGACCGTTCCACATCGGTCTCAGCAAAACGCGAATTTTTGAAATATTTAATATTCTAAAAATTGTAAAAAATATGATAAACAAAAATAATTAAAATATTAGTAAAAATAATAAAAATTCGAGTTGACTCGGGATGATTCGGTATGACTCGGCCGTTTCAAATCTTCACGATAACATCTCGATGAGTTGAGTATCTTGGTATCATTTCGTCAAGGTATCGTATCGGCGAAAGCCGAGACGGTGACGACTCGGCCGAGTCTTCGAATCATGATTCAGCTTTCGAGTCAATTCGAGCTCCAGTTTCCTGTGCTGTTCAAAACAAATTAAAACAGAAGTTAGCAAGGAAAAGTAGTAATAGAGTTCGAAAATCTACAAGGTTGAAGAAAAGGTGAGGAATATCACAATCTATAGATTTTGATACTCTTGACGATTTTTAGTGTTACACTCTATGATACACATAAATGTCCTGTATGATGTCCAATGAGAGGACGCGTATCACACTTCTGCATCATTTAATAGCCAGTTTAAACTGTGTTTTTAAGGTGCGACTTACAAGCAACATAAATACTTACTAATGCTGCTCTTCGAACATCATGAATGTTTCCAAGAACCGCAACATTATTCACCTTAAACAAAAAAAAAAAAAAAAAAAAGAAAAAAAAAAAGAAGAAGGGGTGAATTCCATTAGGATCTTGAAGAAAAAATTTTAATTAACCAAAATTTCACTGGATTTATCATGTACCAAGACGTCAAGCCTTCCAAACTGGGTAAGCAACATCAGATGAATCTGTCACATCAAGCTTATGAAAGAGAACAGTAAGCCCACCAGTCCCTTTGTGCTGGTGAAGAGCATCGAGTCCCTCTTCTCATCTCTTGCAGTCAACACCACTGTGATTCCATGGAAAGCTAATCCATTACAGATTGCAAATCCAATCCTTTTGTTTGCCCCCGTGACAACTGCATACCTAGCTAAAGGAACAAGATGATGGTTTTTAAGTCTGGGAAAAGTCATCGCTGATGTAAAGATTATATAGGTCCTTGGCATGGAGGATTGCCCTTGAGTTACTGTTCTAGACAACCACGAGGCCAAACAAAAGATACGTAGCTGAGCTATTGTTCAGGATCGAGAGGACAAATGTCTCTTGTGGAAGATCTAGACACACTGCTCTACCAAGTATACAATGCACCCCCCCCCCCCCCCCGCCCGGGGGGAAAAATAGTGCACATCTATATTGGGCACAGATTCTACAGGTGCCCATAAGTTCAAATCTTGTCACTTTCATACATTTTGTTCAGAAGTAACCATGAAGTGAATGGATTTGAGAGATCAAAGAAATATGTTTTTATCATAATATACCAGGATCGAAAGGAAGAGCTACAAAGATAATCAGCAGAAATATTGTGCAATTGTATTTCAATACTACCATGAGCACTTAATAAATTCCAGCAAATAAGCAAATCATGGTCAATATTGTGCAATTGTAGTATAGTAATAAGTACCTTTTCTGGGTATCAATATAACCTTTAGTTGATTGTCCCATCACTTGATGCTGTAGTTTGGTAAGATGAGTTTATGAGGAACTTGGAGTTAGCCCAGTTATGGTGCTTAAATTGGCAGACAACAAAGCCTTCAAATACTTTATTTCCCGAGAGCAGGTTGCTTAGTAGTTGAATGGTGGTACTGTTAAACGTATTTGGTAAGCCATTTAACTGTAAAGCACAATTCTTGAAGAATCTTTCAGTATTGTAAACTGTGATAGACTTGATAGTATATCATATTGATCTAAATCAATTTGGATTTGATCATATAATGCAAACTGTTTTTTATTCTCCAACCTGCAAGTTGTTTGTGATTCTTCTCCACTCTTTTTGAATTATAGGATGTAACAAGACAAAATGTCATTTTGGAATGCTTGAGTTTTAAAATTTGATTATTTGAGTTTCCTTTCAACTTAATACTAATAGAAAGATTATAGAAACCGAAAGAGGAAAAAAAAAATTCATGTTAATTCTGCTACTATGTACTATTTAACTCTACAAGTGTCATAACAAATCTAATCACGCAGGGTAATGCTGTCCTCTAGGCATCTAACAACAGAGGAAGTTGGATCTTATTCTTTCTTTTCAGGTAAAAGGGGCAAACTGCCCCAGGTTAATGCTGTGATCAGGTTAACGCGGTCCCATTAAACATTTCCCATGTATGTAAATGGATCTTATTCCTCCTTTTCAGGTATAAGGGGTAAACTGCCCCTTCATGACAGGCTATGACTGGAGAATAATTTGAGTTTGATCATTCAGACCCCCATCAGAAATGTTAAAGGTAAAAGACACAGTTTAACTGTTGGAAAAATGGCTATATCCATTGTAGAGTGAATGAGAAAATTGTTCTCATAATGGCACTCTTGAAAGAATCAAGGATAATTATCTATCATTCATTCATGTACATAGGATTCATGTATATTAATCATTGATACATGATTTTGGATAGGATTCATGTACTTAATACATGATTTTGGAGTTATCTTATTGAGATATATGTATGTACATGAATATGGTACTTTGATAAACGCGAAGATAATTATCTGGAATTTAACACTTGTTGCCAATTTCTAACAGTCACCCTTGACCAGCATCTATAAATATCTCTCTTTTGTTTCAAAAGAAAAGGCTCTCTCTATTTTCCTTCTTGCATCTTCATCTTTTATAGTGTTCCATATTGCTCTAGTTCGAGTTCGCTGTGGTGAAGAAAGTTTGGTGCTGACATATTCATCTTTAATCCGTTGTATCCTGGGAGACAGACGCCTACTTAATCTCGAGCACTCTACCTGGAGGGGGCGAATCTGTTTTAAGGAAATTGTGCTCACAAGCCTCGGATTGTTATTATTGTTATTTTCGATCATTTCTTTCTTTCTAGGTTGTATTTACTCTTCTCTATAGTGTATCAGCCTATTTTTATTATTTCACTAACATTAACTAACCTGGGAACAAATGTTAATACACACATCAAGTGTCTCAGATAATGCATATTGAGCAAATAGTAGCCTTTGTCCATGAAAATTACATGGCATTGCTACTAATTGAAACAACATGTAGCAACAACTAATCTTTTACGTACCACAGGCTCTATTATTGAAGGATAACTTTCATTCATTCAAGATATGTAAAAGAAGAAGCCAGAAGATCCATTAATAATGCACTAATGACATCAACAATCTATCTTTACGTAAAACTACAACTCAAAGCCTAGTGTTTGACTCTGGAGTGCGATATGAGACAAACTGGCTGGCAAAAAAGTACTATTTGATTAAGTGCCGCTGACTCTGAATCTACAAAGTAGTTGGTGCAAACTGAGATTAGGCACCATATGCTGAGCTTGTTTTAACTCAGAGGACAGTTGTTCTGACAGTGAATTGATACCTGGTGGAGTTCACTTCTGAGGAGGAAGAACTAATTGATATGCAGAGAACTCCCAAGTTTACAATCTGAGCCCCGTTGTATTTCCTTCAATTGGGAATTACTAGAAAACTAGAATGTAAAAATTGAAGACAACATTGAAAAAACACCTGTTAGGTTTGTGCTTGGAAATTTAATGTCGAGGAAGGTACTCACTGAATTTGCACATGCCATTGTTTTATTGTTTGCTATAATTGGCATGACTACGTGAGATGTACATATCAGGTTGTAGCACTTGTCTTTAAATGCTGTAACATGTCAAGCTGTCCCTGAATGGGTACTGGACAATTGAAAGAACACAACAATATGCATGTTGAAATGCTGAGGAATCCATCCGTTGTACGGATACTTTAATTGTTTGCCGCCATCCTACTTGCTTCTAAAATGGTACCAATCAACATGTCAACCCTTTTTTCTGCATGTGCTGGCTAGTTGGAGTTGTTTTTCGAAAGGTAGACAAGATATAGAACACCTTTCTGGATTAGACACGTGATGGTTTTCCACCGATGATGGTGCAGGCACTGTTATTGGACTTGCCGAAAACAGAAACTGTTTTAGAACAGGGACTGTCTTGTCAGAAATAGAACGCATCCTATCTCCTCAAGGTGTTGTGGGAAAGCGAAAGCACTTCCCATTGCCCTGCAAAACCCCACAGGAATCAGACTTGAATCCCACCGTGGAACACATCGGCACTAAGAGAAGTCAAAAGTTGGGAGAACTTGGAATATTCTTTACCACTGAATTCAATTATAATACAGGATGATCTGACTAGAAACTTCAAAAAGGCCCAAAATATATTAAGTTGATACTCTCTAAAGACATATAATCAAATGTACATTAAAACAGAAATGAAGTGTAAACTCCCCCTCTGATTAAAACAGATATATATGTACAACTTCTTGACGGTAGGAAGCTGTTCGAAAAATGGCAGCAGCTGAGAGCACGTTTGATAGGTGTAGTTCAGTGAAGCGCAAACAAACGAACTTGAGACTCGCAAATCCTCCAAACGATCATCTAAATCTTCCTCTCCTCATTACGCAGGCTCGCTATTACGCTTAGTCCACAAGGAGCTCAAAGTTCGAAGACGCTCAAAGTATTCCCCCATGGCAAGAAGGCCTCGAGCCGATTGCCGGATGGTTAAGATACCAGACATCTGCTGCAATGTTGCTTGGCGAAGATGATCAGCCTGTTTAGAGACCAAATCAAGCACGGTGTCTATCAAAAGGGAAAATATGTTTTCAAAAGTCTCAAGTACCAGAGTGTTTGAATTCCTCTAGAGCAGCAAATAAACTCAAACATAATACAATATGGCACAAAGGACAAGAATTTGACAACTAGAAGTGAAAATTCTTCCTTTTGTTTCTTCTTTTCCCAAGTAATCAAGGGAGTTTAAAGCAAAGATAAAAAGGAGCACAGGAGTTAATTTCCATCCATAATTTCTCCAGTCAGGAGCCAGCATCTCACACAGTAAGAAGTCAATGGCTTAAGAAGCAGAAGTTCAAGCTCAGAGTATAAAAGAATCACTATTAACGGTTTGTTACAAGGGATGGGAACTGGTGCCTAGAGTATTTTATAGTTATAAAACATCAGAAAGATGAACTCAGATTCCATCAATTACCTGCTTCACAAATCTCTCTAGAGCTTCCAAGTTCTCTATAGCAGCTTCCATCTGTGGGTAATTAACTTCCCTGAGCTGAGCACGGCAAACTGACTCTGCCAGAAATTGATGCAGTTTATCCATTCCCTGTGATAAAGCATCCTCTGCTTGCTGACATGCATGTGTAAGGTGGTACACATTCAAGACTTGCTCATCTGACAAAGGCTGGATGTGTTGCGAGAGAATCTGTACTTAAAGAAAGATTGATAATAGGCATCACGTATTTAACCATGCAAGAGATAAAGAAAAATAAGAATCATATAGGGCCTAGAATCATACTAAATTTGCTCCCAAAAAAAAAAATCATGCTAAGAATGTGAAAGAGACCTCCATACAAACACAATAATTTCAAAGAAAATTCATCATTTTGTAGCGGAACAAAAGATGAGTTTTTGCGTGATTTAGTTGCTCATTTATACTTAAACAAGACATGTTATTAGGACTCTGGTGAGTTACTTTCTGAGCTAATGCATCAACCCTGAGTTTCCCAACTCAAATTCCGAATCCACTGATATGTACCTGATCGTAATCAAAGAAGAATGAGGATATTACATGAGAACTGAGTTGAAGTTTTATAATTACCTTTAGAAGATCCGAAGGGCGGAACCCCCCAATCCACAAGAATAGCCGTTCAACACATGTTTTCCACATTCCGGACATGAGGTAAAAGACATCAGCTTTGGCAGCTGTTTCCTTCATACGAAAGAGGTCAAAATAATGGTTAATGCCACCATCAACTAGTAGACGTAGCTCTTCTTCACTCATGTGAGAATGCAAAGCATTCCTTAGTTCATTAACTTGTCTATTTTGTTCTTCCACCCAGCGTCCGTACTCCACTTCAAATGCGGCACTTCCTGCAGGTATAACATGGAGGCTCACTTAAGGAAAGTAAACTTGACCCAAGTGTGCAACCAGAGAGCAAAGGGAGTTTATCATTGGAAAGGGTGAATATTGTCCTAAAAACCAAATGAAACAGTAACAGTTTCTTAAAGAATGAAATAAGCTGCAAGCTATATCATGTGTTAGGCATTCTCTCAAGCTCTTCACTCATTGAAATAATTAGTTTCAATCAGAGGTCAAGTACAAATTAAAATCTTCTAATTTTACCCAATGCCCATTCACAAAATGAGACCTTCAATTTACATGTCAAATTAAGCAATGCCTGGAGAACTGGAAAGTGTAAACTCAGGTTTGATACGATTAGGATTTTCTGGTATGACTCTTAAAATTCTTCTGTGAAATGTTAGTCTATTTAAAATGACACATAGTGTTTACTCACAACTTCCAGTCCTTAAACTTTGCCATGTCCCTTAATTTTATTGGATCACATTTTGCGAAAATTATCACCAAAAGTAGATAATTAGCCATTATACTTATAACTGACAGGGAAAGGTAAAATAACAGGGGGATAATTAGCCATTACAATTTGAAGTGATTAGCATGAAATGAGTATTACGAAAGGTAGTTCAAGCAATACTCGACATAAACCACTGTTTAAGTTATCATCCACTCCCTTAAACAAGATGACTACAAGGAATGTGAAATATGAATCTTGCTTGGTTGAAAAAGTGAATGTTAATAGGAAAACAAAATCAGAACAAAGCTAAATTACAATTACAAAGTACCAAACAAGGAAGCTATTAACAATTTCTCCTTATCAAGCATAACTCAGAATCCATCAAGTATGAATTCACGTGGAGTGTCAGTAATACATGTAATATCACCTGGTTGATACTAACAATTTAGCAAGATAGTTTCTAAGAATAGACCCACAAACCTGAGTTTAAAGCTCCAGAGCAAGTTAACTGACTAATATCTAATCCACCAGCTGCATACAAACCCTGAACCAAATTCTTCAGAGGATTAGAAAACTTATTGTGCTATATCATAGGAGCAATTTTAAAGAAAAACTAAAGCACACAAAAAGATGAAGATTTCTTTCTACCTGTTGTCTAGCTCGATCAAGTTCTTGTTCTAACTGCACCAGTCTAAGTCTACTGTTTTCTAACTGTTGAACATATGCCTGCAAAAATTATTGCTGATCACTAAGTACATGGTGGTTTGGATATTACGCAAGATATTTAGTGACAACAATGTTTTTCTCTTGGTAGATATCATATAACCCAATCAATATAACAATGACTACATGGCACCTATAATAGTATTCCTGGCAATTTACCTTCTTGCGTAAACGGCTTTTACGAGCAGCCTCACGATTTTGGGCAAGACGTCTCAGTACCTGCGAGACCAACTCAAGCTCCATTACCAATGTTTCATACAGTTCAGAAAATTCAAACTCATTGAATACACTGTGGCTCAGAATGCAAAGAAAAATAGAAACTCATGCACAGCATATATTCAGAGATTCAAGCTACAATAAAATTGTAAAGCAATTTCCTTCTCATCCGGAAAATGGTTAGAAGTCCTCATCAATAGCTAAAATGGTTTCTGCCACTCTCCCATTAGTCTATGTCTTCCTCTCATTCAAAGTATTTAATGTTATTGTCAACAGAAGAAAGACAAAATTGTACACCAGCAAGTCAAGACTAATGGACATCCACTGGAAAGAGGACAGCCAATCTGCCTGCTGACCAAGGTGAACTTTAAGAAAAAATGTTGTTTGCAGAGTATATAGTTGGTCAAGGGGGAAACAGTTGAGAGGATGCCAGTATTTTATCTTAGGATGGTCCATAAGGCACTTCATAGAGTTAAAAAGTCCGCATCCATCACGCTAAGAGTTTCATATACATGTTTTTGTTATGGTAAATTATCTGCTGTAAAGAAAATGTCGAAGGGAAAAAAAAAGATAAAGTATGGACAAAAATCAGAGCATCCTTGCAATCAAAACATGTCTCCACATGCCAGACTATGGAAAGTGGGGGAATTCTTTGAATGTAGAGACTTACTAGTCATGGTAACCGTTTAAGATGCAGGATAGACAATATGAACTAATGAGGTTGCTAGAACATTGCAATATCTTTACCTTATCAACAGGTTTACTAGCTTCTTGATCGTATTTGCTAGGAGTACCTAATGTTCCATGTGAAGTGTCCTCTGACTGCGCAATTGATTTTAAAACTCAGACAAAATGGGAAACAATGAATAGCCAAAGAAATAAATAGCAAAGACAGATAAAAAGTCACCTGGTTATCTAGATTGGTTTCAACCTGTAGAATCGTGGAAGCGGATGCATTGGGACACCCATTACCTTTGAAATCTCCCCACATGCCAATTGGATGCATTGGTTCATACAGGCCCATTCTCCGTGAGGCAACATATTGGGTCGTTGTAGAATGCATTTTTTATGTATTCTGATGTAAAAAGCACTCAATCAGCTACTACAATTACAAGATTCAAAAGGGAAAGTTATCAAGAATAACATGAAAAAGAAAAGAAAGAACGATGTGTCAGCCATTCAGGGAATCAAGTTCAAGGTAACAATCATATTTGGTGATCTCAGCAGTCACTGCCCCTCAAACAAAGGAAAAATAAATAAAACATACAACCCAAAGACAAGAAAACCATGATTCATAAAAGAAAGGAAAGCATCTCTGTCACTGAAAGTTTTGAGTGTTTGAGTTCAATCACGTGTCCAGTGTCATTAAGCCAGCAAGGGCATATCCGCAATATCATATGAGCTTTTCTCCAAATATGTGATTCTACAACATGACATTTCATTCAACCACACTGCCTCAGATAATACAAAAGTTTCTAATAGACAAAAAAAAAATTCTGGTATTCTATTCGAAAAACAGAAGTTCAGATTTTTGTTCCACTATCAACAGTTTATTTTCCTCTAGCTGTCTTCCACATCAGACTGATGAAAGCGAATTCAAATTCAGTGAAGACTATCCATTCAGAATTCAATTTTCACAAGTCTTCACAGAAAAGGTTAACAGCCTCAACAAAAGCATCTAACATAGAACTAGAAATCAATTTCTGTTGCACATAGCAGTTGAGTTTGAGGAGAGAATCACAAAATTACAACTCATTCCCATTTAATTATACCTTCAATACTTATTGTTTAGTCAAAATTATAAAGAAAGAAACAACCTTGAGAATCAACATACTAAGCTCGTAAAACAGAAATACTTGGATTACCCACAAGCTTAAATCCCCAGAAACAAACAATTAAGAACTCATAAATCAGGAGTCCACAAGCTATAAACACTGGAACTTGAGCCCATAAGCAACAAATTCACCAATAACCATCCAAGAAAAATTATGTTTACTGAAGAAAAAGGAAGAAAGACTACAAACTGCATCAACAGTTGCAACCCCAGGGATAAACGAAACAAAAACGAAAGCCACCCCCACCAAAATTTTCAGAAACCAAGAATTTATCACGATATATGAATAAGTATCCAAGAAATTCGTCACTAAACAAGAATTTTTTCTTACGAGTACGTTGACACACTTAAAAGGACATATGGCAACTAAATTGATTAAAACCCAAGGAACAAAAACCAATCAACAGTCAATAGAAACTGTTCGGATTCACCCTTTTTTCAGCTCTTGTATCCCTTTTTCCACTTATATGACTTGTGGCAACCAAAGAAGAAATAGGAAATGAAGAAAAGAACCTTTTTGATGAAAAGGGTCTTCAAGAAACAACTTCTTTTCCCGCTCAATTTGCTTTTTCACACCAAAACAGACTTAACTGAAATTCATCAGTCTTTAATTCACAACTCTGTGTTTTCTCAAATACCCTTTTTCCCTCTGACTCTCATCTCCCCATTACTAGCTTATTGGAAGAGTTAGAAGAAGAATCAAGTGCAAACAGAGCAGTCTTTTCAGACTCCATATTTAAAATGATATATTATAAAAAAATTTACAAATACTATACTTGCAAAACATCAGAGTGACATGTAGAGAACTGTTCTTAGGTTGATTTATACGTATAATTGGGATGATTGAAGTTTGTTTTAATGTGTGTTGTGCGTGAAACTGTGGGACAGAGTGACATCGTGTGCTACAATTCTTGAAGAAGATTAGAAATTGATAGAGTGTCTGTTTTGAGTTGAGTTTTGTCTGTCATATTTCCACTATCAAACAACAGTGATTTTGTGTTATGTGGAAGTTGAGTGTGCGCACCAGGTCACCCTCAATTCCTTTTCTTTTTCGTTTTTTTTTCTTTTCTTTGTTTTATTTTTTCATGAATTAGAATTTTTTTGATATTAACCTAAGAACAAAAGTTAGTATAAAATATTATTGGTGTCACTAAAAGTTTGTGTAATATTTATTCAAATTAGTACGTTCTAGAATTATATAAATTTTTTATCAATCGCTTTCATGCAGGCGAACAAAAAGTTACGAGAGACACGCTTATAATTTTCTAATGAAAACATCTAATTTTCACTTAGATGGAGATAGAAAAAGCTAATTAATCCTTTTCAAATTTAGTGTTCATATAGTCATCTGATAACTTGAAATAATGAATATCATTTACCTTATAGCAAACTGAAAATGCTTTTTCATGGTTTCAAAAAATTATAGTAATAATTCGGAAACAGTTACTTAATAATGTATTTTTTGAAAGTCCAAAATACATGTGACGCATACTTTTTACCTTAAGGGCAGAAGTTCCATTTTAAGAATGTTCATATATTAAGAGTGGCATGACGTGAATATTGTTTGGGAAAAAAAAAAGAGAAAAACAAAAAGTTTGTTAGGATTGTACGCTACGCGCGCGGAAAGCAAGTTGGGCTGCGGGCTTCCGTATTTCTAGTTGTGCCTTAATTTTAAATGGTAGTTGTAATTTCGCGCGAAGTTACCGGTGATGGTGATGGAGCGTGTAGCGACGCTCCCAAAATCGCCTGAAGAATCAGAAATCTTTCCTAGTAAATAGGGATAATTTCAGAAACCTCCTCTAAGGTTTCTAACAATTTCACTAGGCTCCCTTCAAGTTTGTAAAATTACAAAAACCTCCCCTAAGTTAACGTTATGGTAACAAATTAGTTCAAATCAGAAAAAGCAACATTAAAAAAGTATTTTAAGGAGAGAAATAAAATTTTTATTCCATAACTACCCTTTATACATGTATATAAACTATATTAGTAAAAATATGAAAACAATTAAAAATTAGAATCAATTAACACACATGTTTCACTATTCAAAAAATTCACATTCAATACATTAGATAACACAAATAAACAATAAAACTAAACTAATGATCACAAGATTTAGTAAAACAGACCAGTTATCGTTCTTAATATTAAGTTTACTATAATTCTTATTATTTTGAAAAGAATGAATTTTTTAACTTTTCCTTTCTTTTCCTTTTGTCTCCTTTACTTCTACGAAATTACTTTACAACTACTATAATTTTAAGAGTTTCAAAGAAAAATTTCTCACAAATAATCTTCTTTTACCTTTTTTTTTTTATCAAAGCCCTTCTTGTCATATTATGTACAACTGATTTTTTTATTATTATCAAGTTTTATCAATCACAAAATAGCATCATTTGGTATATCCATTGGTCTTATTTTATAATTGCAAGTCACTGTTCATTATTAAAGAAATTCTCAATAGTTATTTTTATTAATTAGTTATTAATAATTAATTAGTGCTCTAATTATTCAATTGTTAGATATTAGTTTCTATAAGACATAATGTCTTAGGGTATATGAGTAATTTTCCCCCATGTAATGTAAATAATTGAGCTCACAATTCTATTAAGGGAGGTAAATGAAATTTATAAATCTTAAGGGAGGCTAGTGAAATTGTCATAAACCTCAGGAGAGGTTTCTGAAATTATCCCTAGTAAATAACTTGTCCGAATTTTTTTTGTTTTTTTTAGTGTGAGCTAAACACGCTTTGGATAAGACCTTACGATTAGGATTACCTTACCGAGGAAAGCTAATCATTATTATACTGGCAGCAAGTAATTTAAGGAGAAGCACAATCAACACTAAATTTCAATAATAAACAAGTAAGTCCCACAAGGAGCTGTTGTCACAAAGACTTATACATATTTTTGTAAAATGGAAGTTAAGGATTGGCCCTTCGTCTCTCATTAATAAATTTTTTATTAATACGTGGCTTCTCAAAATTCAAACAGGTGTATAATGCATTTATTTAATTCGATGATAATTTTGTCATAGAAATGGTATAGAATGTGATTATTGACAAAAATAAATAAATAAACAAGTCCACAAAAAATGGGATAAAAAATTCACATTTAGTGAGTTTTTTTTTTTTTTTTTGGTAAGAAATAGATCGCGAGACTTAAACTTAGAACATCTACTTTCATGATCTCAACTTTAATAATTAGATCAAACCTCTTTGAAAATCAAAGATATCTAATCAGTACCCTTGGACCTTGAGGATTGAATACTATACACAATTTTGCATTTATAATTGACATTTTATAGATACAGTCTAACTTACATTTATACACTTTTTAGATTTAAAACTTTATGTTTCAAAAAAGGTAACACTGGAAACCCTTTTTAATCAGAAACATGAAGACATTCACTAGATAAAACTTACTAAAAAAGGGAAACTATGATTGGCCTCCCGCATTTCTGATTTCTCACACTGCAATGTTTTAGTTAAAAAAGAAAAAAAACAACCTACAAGGGTCATGTGACCTTGTGAGGAAATAGACTGATTTTGACAAAGAGAAAATTGTACATTTGTTCGTAATGTTTGGGATGAAAATATATATTTCTCCTTGTCAAAATCAGTGGCAAGTTTTTGCAGTTACTTACCTTGAAAAGCACTTCTTTCTACTAGGAAAATGCTGAGAGATGCCACACTTTCCCAATTCTCTCTATTCCAAACTATGTGAGCATCTCATATGAGAAGACGTCGGGAGAATTTAACTTATCACACATAAAGATATGCAACTAACATAATCACCAACTTAGTCAAGTATCAAAAGAATATATGTAAAGAAAGAATTTGGAAATGGGGTCTCTTCCCACTTTTTAGATTCTTGCACACTATTTACGCATTAAAAGATCAGTACAGCAAATATTTTTAATGAGATGGTGCTTCCATGAAAATGACGTCAACAAGTTGTTATTTTGTGTACAGGATTTTGAAATCAAGGTTGCCAGCTTTTATACGAAAATTGCCCCAAAAAGTTTAAAGCGGGTAAAAAAATCCATGCAATGTATGTCATAATAAATTGTTTGGATTGTGGTTTTACGCAAAAAAAAAAAAAAAAAAATTTACGTTTTCCTTAAACACAATTTATCTTCATCTATATGTGTGTCCGTTATTTGGCGCACGTGTGTCCAGTTATCTAGTTAAATATTTTCTCGAATTTGCATGGAAGTATATATGTGATGACGTGTTGCTAGTATTGATTATCTCCTTCTAACATTCTTTTCTTAGCCAAAAGGGAAATGAAAATTTGTTTCAACAGTTCCAAAATCTATTTTACTAATATTAACTCTATTCTTGAGTCTTGACTTAATCCTTTAAAGTTGGATTCCAATTGCTTGTGTATATTTATTATATGTGTGGCAGAATATGGCTTTTTATGGAATATGCTTTATGTTGTTGGAGGAAATCAGAGGTTTGTAGAGAATATCTTGTTTTTTTCTCTTCTTAATTAATTGATGCACTCAAAAAACATATCAAAGTGCTGCATTTCGGAGGAAAATACGATTTTCCACTAATCTTTCTCAATTAGAGTCTAAAAAATGTACTACCCTCAAAAGCTGATTGTCCCATTAGTTTTAAGAATCTTTGTACATTTACGTTATCCATGCATGGTCCTCTCTGGTGTGCTGGAAAAGACTAATCAATTAAGCTGCTAATTCCAATCCAGCCTTCTTTTTTCTTTTCTTTTTTTTTTTGTTTCTTTTTAATTGTTTGGCTTTTGCTTTATGGGTAAACGAATATCAAAGCTGTTTAGTCATTAGTTTTGTCCATAGGGGTGGTGATTGTTTTGTGAGCCTAACTCAAACCTTTTTCCACCTAACCAGGTGACCCTTTAGATTCTCTAGGGACATAATGGATAATCTCAACTTATAGGTCAAGTTGGCACATTGTACCTTTTCTCTTTTCTTCCTAAAAATTATATTGCAAAAGAACATTATTAGAAAACAAACCACATACGCTAGTAATTCTCAAGGGTTTTCCAAGTATGGAGTTAGACGTCTTTTCGCTTATTATTATACGTAAAATTGATATAATGGAGAAGGCAAATTGCTGCCATATATGGTTTAGGATAAGACAAACAAAACAACTTAATACTTTTGGTGGGAAGGGATATTTCATTTTTCTATTTTCTATCTTTTGGTTTGTTATAACGTTAATTGATTAATAAAGAAGGTACACATAGCCACATGATGAGGAAGATGACAAGCATGTTCCGTTAATGAGCTTGATATGGTTAGGTAATAAACAAAAATAAAAATAATTATGAAATATAAAGTGTAAAATAAGAGTAAAATATAGAGTGTAAAATTGAAATATAACGTGTAAAATTTGAATTTAAAATTTAAAATTTACCCATGTGTCATTAATCCAACTGTAATAATATATACACTGACTGATAGTGTATATAAAAATTACTCTAAAGGTAAACCCTTCAATACTTACCTAGGCTCTACAGGATTTGTGCTAGTCGCTTTCATTCACTTTTTGTATCAGAAAAATTACTTAGATATGCATGGTGACGTGGGTTTTTATGAATTTCCCATATTGTTGTTATGGAAAGAGAAATGTTTGTATGAGCTCCTACATTTCCTTTTCTCAAATTTTTGAAATGAGAAATAAATTTAAAAAAAAAAAAAGTGTCTACATCCAGAAAAGGGTCAATAAATGTAAATGCATATATTTAAATGGTAAAGTTAGGTGTATATTAAAGC